AGTTCGTCTAAGTTTGAACTTGCAATGTGAAAAATCTTTTTTCGATGGGCATTTCAGCCCTGATAGCTTCTGCTGTATCCATAAGCCTGCTGGCCTCTCCACCTCCCATTAAGCATAATGCAGGGTGGAAATGTCTCTCTTAACTCGCAGAGCACCTCTCAAATCCCTCAGAGACCAATAGCTGGAATGACAAATAGGAGGGCACGTCGGCATGGCATTTAAGGCTGCTAACGAGATAAAGCGCCCGAGCTTGGCACCTCTCACCCGCTCGCTACTCCTCCACCCCGCTTACTGTCATCTGTGCAGCTAAAGAGCTTTAGCGGAGAGGCCCCTGAAGTGGGGGCCACGAGCCAGCTTGGCTTTATCCCTCCCTTACCCCCTCTTCCCAATCTCCCTCCTCTCCCCTTCCCTGCCTTGATTCCTCCCACCACCGGCACATAATTAAAAGTGCTGGGCTGGGTGCCCAAGTGGCTGAAGGCTATGAGTCACTCCCCAGGCCTGGAAGAATGAGGGATAAATCACCTGGGGGAGGAGGGCTGGAACTTCTCTCTCCCCTCACACCTGGGTTCATTCGGGGGGACCCTATTACCAGGCCCTCCAATTACCCTGTCCCGCCAGCCTGAATTTATTTGTACCGCTCCCCCACCACCATAAAATTATAACTTTGCGTAATAATTTTTTGCTCGATGCAGTCCAACCCAAGGTTAATAGCTGCCTAGCTGACTTTGAGGAGGCTGAAGGATGCTGCCGCTACGATGCCATTCTCCTCCTCCTCCTCACGCCCCCTCCTTTCATCCTCTTTTTCAGCCTGTAAAAGTAGTACAGGGAAGGGGAGTGGAAGTGCCTAGCAGGAGTTATTGTCCAGTGCAACCCCATTAACGGTCCCCCAAGGTGCTGTAAGTGTCTCTCTTATGGGAGAAACCGCCATTAATTGTCTGATCAAACCTTGAGACCCTCACTGTTTTACTGCATTGTAGGCCCTGAACTGCATTCAGTTGAGAGGGCCCTCATAGAATAGATTTCCATCTAATGAAAAGAACTCGGTAAGGAGGAGTTTCTATTAACTTCTTATGGATAAAAGTTTAGCTTGTTTGTTGAACTTGTGTGCTGTAAAGTCTAGACAGCTGTTGACGTGTTTTCAAGTGCAGCCGAGACCTCAGCATTACACCAGGTCAAGGAAGCTTGTAAGTATTTCCGTCACCTTACAGCAGATAGTAGTTTAGGTGTAACTGTTAACAAGTTCTTGGTATGCATCTTTAAATGGTAAATGTTCTCTGAACACATGCACCTGTACAAGGCGTTGTCTGTGCAAAACACAGTCTAAAATTATATCAAAAACTGACCAATCAAGGAACAAGGGGGGAAAAGGGAGTATGAGTTTCAGCAAGCATTCAGTGCCTTACCTGACAATTTAAATAGAGTTGAAGTTGCTAGCCATTCCTATGACAACCTTATTTGGAATAACCCCACTTACAATATATATGTTCAGGGTCCTCATCAGCCCGCCCAAGAGTTGTCAATGTCAGCTTATTCAAAAATAGAATTCCTGCGTATCCCAAATAGTATTGGTGCCGCATACTTTAAGGTTTTAACATCAGTTACTCTGCTTGATTCAAAAGGGGTGAATTAAAACTGGAGACAATGACTGTCCGCCCTTGCTAAAATTTGCCCACAGCTTTACTAAATTATATTTAAAAATGGAAACCTCATACACAAAGAGCACATTATAAATGCATCTGCAGGATTTGATATTAGCTGGGTTGAGGGAAAATCTGTTAACCCTATGGGCCCGAACAACGCATAGTGCGTCCAAATTCACACCTGTACTTCTCTGTTGATTTTCTCCGCGACCGTGCTTCATAGCGAGAAGCCACGCAGATCACGTGAAACAGCGGAATTGTAGCTTTCCGACCAAGACCAACAACTTGTCAGTAGTCCAATGTTTTCACAGCGAAAAACAATGATAAAGTTACACTAAAATTATGTATAACAGAGCTTTCATACAGCTCTGCACACACATTACTCTTGGATGAATTACTCGCGAATGCAGGCTCGCATAGAAATGCCACGCATATCACATGAAAGTGCAGGAGCAGAGCTTTCCATTGATACCATACACATCATTGTGCTGTCATCCCATCACACTATAAATCCAGATTAATTGTCTACAAAATAAAAACCTGACGAATTTCTTTACAATCCATTATACAGATCTTGTTGTCAGTCACTTCATATAGTGAGGAATATCGTATCTTACCACGTCTTAGGCTTGCGTGTGTTTCTCCCTGTCTATCCACATTTGTAGTCCAGCTTTCAAGATGTCCAGTTGACACTCCATCAAACTTTGTATGACAAGACCAGCCACTTCACCTTTGCGCACCCGGACAACTAAGGCCTATGCTTGCATGACAGGGCCATAGTCACCATATACATTGAGGGGGACATGTGCCCCCCCCCCCAAATGCCCCAAATGTCGCCCCAATATATAACTGAAACTGAAAAACAACAAACTTTGTTTACTGCATATTTTTGCAATATATCTTGCATTCCTGTTTCATGAGCATATCCTTTCTTTCATCTCATCAATAACTGGCCAAACAGCAATATTTCTACAGAAATTATAAAAGAAACGTTTTCAGCTATGAAACATAAAAGACCTGTATTAAATAGCAAGAGGAGACCTTAGTACATTTACAAGTTTGAAACACAAATACATCTATCATGGACAATCAGGGATGCCATGTTCTCCTCTGAAAGTAACTTCAATTTTTTCAAAATGTTTGCGTAAGGTGCAACTGAAGTTTTCTACAAGATCATTGTTGGTTGTTCCACGCACAGTACATGTTAACACCACAGTTAATACAACATTTGGGATTTTCAGTAGACATTTAGTTGTTGGTTTTTTTTTTCTTGAATGGTCCATTAAGACTGCAAACAAAGTTACATTCTTGTAATACCACAGGAAGAAAATGTTTTCTATATTGTTACTGCCCCACTCATGATTGTTATACTTTACTTAACTGATGAGAAACACAATATGCAGATCAAAACCAGACTTGTGAAATTAGAGTATGCTTAGCTACAGCTAAATGATTATGGAGCTACATTAGGGTCAAATGTTTTGTACTTGAAAAAATAAAATTTGAAACTGAAAATTCATGTGTTGATCTTGAATTTTGAAAAAAATCAAGATCCACTTCGCTTGCAATGATGGCGTCTGGTTGGTCGGGTCAATCTGCTGGAGCCCATACATCCAGCACACAGGTGAGAAATGTTAACTAAGTTTTGGGAAATCATAACAAATATTAAGGGGTCGTTTTTGTGACAACATACTTTTTTTTTGTGACGTCTTTTAAGTGGCGAATTTGTCAGAGCTGGAAAGTGTGATTGTCCACAGCTCCATCATCACGGCCCTGTTGATGCTTCCTCATCCAGTAAACGTGTCCCCTGGATGAAATCTTTGAGCTTGGGGAAAAGGAAACAATCCTGAAACACCTCCCTACTCACCTTACCTGGCTCTAGGTGATTTTTGTGGCACCAGGTGAGTAGGGAGGTGTTTTAGGATTGTTTCCTTTTCCCCAAGCTCAAAGGTTTCATCCAGGGGACACGTCTGGATGTGGAAGCATCAACAGGGCCATGACGATTGAGCTGTAAAAATGTATGTTGTCACAAAAACGACCCCTTAATGTTTGTTATGATTTCCCAAAGCTTAGTTAACATTTCTCACCTGTGTGCTGGATGTATGGGCTCCAGCAGATTGACCCGACCGACTGGATGCTATCATCGCAAGCAAAACGGACACTACGCTGCGTTCACAGTGCTATGTGGAAATCGAACATATCAGCACTTTAAATGTGGCTGTTGAACTGCAAAATCTGGCATAATTTATCGCTCTTATACCGCAATTGGTGCTCAGTACTGTCTAAAACAGATTTCTAAATGGAAGTTTGTCACTGGCATCAATTTTTACACTGCCAGTCACATAAATATGGTGTATATAAGTGTTGAGTCAGAATTTTTTTAGTTCCTACGTTCCCTGAAGGCACTGTCACTCATGATTCTACACCCCTCTCAGTTGATGCCACGCCCCCCACGCCACATCAGGGTCAAAAGTCTGAAACTCAAAAAACAGATTTGAAACTGAAAAAAAAAAGATCTGAAAGTGAAAAAAAGATTTGAAAGTGAAAAAATAAGATTTGAAACTGTAAAAAATAAGATCTGAATCTGAAAAGATAAAACATGCAACTGAAAAAAATAAGACCTCAAATGTTAAAATATATATGGAAGTGAAAAGTGAAAATAAATTATTCATTCAAAAGAATTACCAAAGTGAATCAAAATTATATTTAACCCGAAAAAACGTTTCATATACTTATTTTTATTTTGAATACATTGTTGTATTTTTCAAAATTCAAGATCAACACATGAATTTTCAGTTTCAAATTTTATTTTTTCAAGTACAAAACATTTGACTCTAATGTAGCTCCATAAATGACCATCTGCTCTCATGGAATGTCTTTTTTAAAAAGTACACAATTAAAGCCTTTTCACAGAAAAGCTCTCTTGGATAATGCACCTCATCCCCAGCCCCTTTTAGCAGGTCCATTTGTCTAAAAAAAAGGATGGAATGAGTTTTATCGATTTCCTTTTTGTTGTACCTTTTCCTCTGACTCCTCCAACATGTCATGAGCAGAACTCCCATGAATCCAACATGGCTTCTTAAAGTGTCTTAATCATTGCTTTAAAGGCCAAATCAAGATGAAAAGTCTTCAGCCGTGTGAAGTTGACGGGGGGGAAGAAAAGAACCAAAGAGATGCCTGCCTTGAAATTACGTTTACTGTCATATTAAAAAGAGGCACCTTCTTCTTTTCCGGGGGAATCAGAGGAGTGAGTGGAGCTTTGAACTGTGGCTGGTGTGTGTGGAGGGAGGTGCATGCAGTGTTTTAACTCTGGCTTCATCCTCAACACATCTCTCCTCTCTGTCTCTGCTTTTCTTGCAGATCCACATCATTGACTTTGATGATGAGAATAACATCATTAATAAGAATGTCCTTCTGCACCAAGCTGGGGAGATATGGCACATTGGCGCCAGTCCTGCAGATAAGGCTGTGCTTACCACCTGCTATAACAAAAGTGAGTCCTACTGTTTCCTTCTGTCTCTGGCTCCATTCACTGCCTCTTTATGCATCGTGTCTCTCTTATTTTCTTTCTTTCATTCTGCTTTTCTGTCTTTGTCTTGTTTTTGCATATCTTCCTATTCTTTTCTCTTTTCATTTGTCTCTTCCATCTAATGCACATGCAGTTTAGTAGAGAATCATAACATAATTGGTCTTTAACAGGTGATCAATAACAGCCAGTCTGTCTTCACGGGTCTAACAGCAGCAACTGTGTTAGAAGTCATGTTCAGACCCGGATCGAATCAATACTAATGTGTGGACATGATGACCCACATGAGGGATAAGAGCAGCAGCTGCAAAGTCACGGACAGGCAGGAGAAAAGCTTTGAAGGTCACATGCACATCATCTGTGCTTTTATGTAATATAATAATAATAGTATAGACGAAGGCAGTAAAACCTATTATAGCCAAAAGGAACGACTTTGCAATTTGGTTTAGTTGAGACATGGCATCCTTTACATTCACATTTTGGTACATGACATTCACTTTGACATTTTATACTTCAGCAGTGACCCAGTGGTTAGAACAAGGAGAAACAGCTTCAAGCACCAATGGTTGGATTAACAATCATGTTTTATAACCACCATAACCCTCTCAGTTGACACATTTATAACAGAATCATGCCACTCTCTGAACACATGACGAGATGTAACTGCATATCTTGGATGTACAGCACAGGCCAAAAGTTTGGACACACCTTCTCATTCAATGCGTTTTCTTTATTTTCATGACTATTTACATTGTAGATTCTCACTGAAGGCATCAAAACTATGAATGAACACATGTGGAGTTATGTACTTAACAAAAAAAGGTGAAATAACTGAAAACATGTTTTATATTCTAGTTTCTTCAAAATAGCCACCCTTTGCTCTGATTACTGCTTTGCACACTCTTGGCATTCTCTCGATGAGCTTCAAGAGGTAGTCACCTGAAATGGTTTTCCAACAGTCTTGAAGGAGTTCCCAGAGGTGTTTAGCACTTGTTGGCCCCTTTGCCTTCACTCTGCGGTCCAGCTCACCCCAAACCATCTCAATTGGGTTCAGGTCCGGTGACTGTGGAGGCCAGGTCATCTGCCGCAGCACTCCATCACTCTCCTTCTTGGTCAAATAGCCCTTACACAGCCTGGAGGTGTGTTTGGGGTCATTGTCCTGTTGAAAAATAAATGATCATCCAACTAAAGGCAAACCGGATGGGATGGCATGTCGCTGCAGGATGCTGTGGTAGCCATGCTGGTTCAGTGTGCCTTCAGTTTTGAATAAATCCTCAACAGTGTCACCAGCAAAACACCCCCACACCATCACACCTCCTCCTCCATGCTTCACAGTGGGAACCAGGCATGTGGAATCCATCCGTTCACCTTTTCTGCGTCTCACAAAGACACGGCGGTTGGAACCAAAGATCTCAAATTTGGACTCATCAGACCAAAGCACAGATTTCCACTGGTCTAATGTCCATTCCTTGTGTTTCTTGGCCCAAACAAATCTCTTCTGCTTGTTGCCTCTCCTTAGCAGTGGTTTCCTAGCAGCTATTTGACCATGAAGGCCTGATTGGCGCAGTCTCCTCTTAACAGTTGTTCTAGAGATGGGTCTGCTGCTAGAACTCTGTGTGGCATTCATCTGGTCTCTGATCTGAGCTGCTGTTAACTTGCCATTTCTGAGGCTGGTGACTCGGATGAACTTATCCTCAGAAGCAGAGGTGACTCTTGGTCTTCCTTTCCTGGGTCGGTCCTCATGTGTGCCAGTTTTGTTGTAGCGCTTGATGGTTTTTGCGACTCCACTTGGGGACACATTTAAAGTTTTTGCAATTTTCCGGACTGACTGACCTTCATTTCTTAAAGTAATGATGGCCACTCGTTTTTCTTTAGTTAGCTGATTGGTTCTTGCCATAATATGAATTTTAACAGTTGTCCAATAGGGCTGTCGGCTGTGTATTAACCTGACTTCTGCACAACACAACTGATGGTCCCAACCCCATTGATAAAGCAAGAAATTCCACTAATTAACCCTGATAAGGCACACCTGAAGTGGAAGTGGAAACCATTTCAGGTGACTACCTCTTGAAGCTCATTGAGAGAATGCCAAGAGTGTGCAAAGCAGTAATCAGAGCAAAGGGTGGCTATTTTGAAGAAACTAGAATATAAAACATGTTTTCAGTTATTTCACCTTTTTTTGTTAAGTACATAACTCCACATGTGTTCATTCATAGTTTTGATGCCTTCAGTGAGAATCTACAATGTAAATAGTCATGAAAATAAAGAAAACGCATTGAATGAGAAGGTGTGTCCAAACTTTTGGCCTGTACTGTATAAATATGTATAATCAATACTAGGCAGGGGACGATATGAAAAAAATTACATCATGATTATCCTGACCTAAATAATTGCGATTCACAATTTAATCTTGATAATTATCAAAATATGTACAATTCTCTTAAAATTTGTCTAGAAACAACTTTTTTCGTCACTGATAGGACACACATCTTTTTTTAGTGAAAAAACAGTTAAGGCTGTATCCGGCTCAGAATTATGTCGGTCGCATTACATTTGGCTGTTCAATACAAATATTTGACTATTTGTTCCTTTCCTTGCATATGGAGTTTGAGAGTTTGAACAAGGTTTAGTGGGAGGTTCAGGGTGATAGCCACATTACCGAAATATAGTAAACATGCCAAGATAGCCCTTCAAGCTAATGTTGGCTAATATTTTTCCAACATTAGCTATCAAACAAAAGCCAGAGACTGTGTTGTATTACGATACTGTGAGCTCGAAATTCACCACTCCAAGCAGAAGGGAGGAGATAATGTTATCTCAGAGCCTGACCAGGCAAAGCCTCTCCTCATTGGGGCAGCTGCCTCTGTCTCACTCCGACTCACCCTTATCAATCTCCCTTATCAATATTTTTGAGGCTGATACTGATGTCAATATGTAACAGTACAAACAATCTGACAACTGCATTGCCCATTTTTTCACATAACTCCTAATAGAACAAACATTTTTGTTAAGCCCAAAAGCATAGTTTCAAAAATTAAGCAGTACTCCGTAGCCTTAAATATTTTAACAACTAGATAAGCAATGTCAAAGTTGCAAGACTTCAACACTCACTAATCAGCTTGATCATGACAGTGTAACAGTGACCTGGCAACAGAAGCACGCAACCCCACAGATGTCATCAGATTCAGATTTTGATAAAAATGGACTGGTGCACAGGAGTCATCAGCTTTTTCACACTGAGCTCTGAATACTTCGAACCAGTGAGCACAGGCAGAAAGTTTTGTGGTCACGTAGGGCCCCATCACTAACACTGTTTGGACCTTTAAGGATTCATTTAATTTGAATATTAAAAAACTGTAACCAAGGTGTGTATCTAGTGAAACATTTTTGATGAACAATTTGCCATTCCATTGTATCCTTGGCACTCTAATTAAGATTATGATTTTATTTTATTCATAATATCCTGCCTATTAGCCAAATCTTAGCCTTAAATACATAAACAGTATATACAGTACACTCTAGGCTAAAGGTGTCTCAGATTTTTAGAATGGCTTCATGCCACTTTTGCTTTGTTAATGTAAGATCTTGACGATGACGACATTTTTGCCAGTGTCTGAGTCACACAGGAGCAGAGTGCACCGTCTTCCTTTATGGGTAGATAATTCTGGGACAGGATGTAGTCACTGTGTCTGTACCCCTCCCCATCCCTACAACCCTCCGCCACTCTCTTCGCTTGCTTCCTCACTTTTCCCCCTCTGTCTCTCGCTCTCTGTCAGCTGAGTTCTACATGCTTGAGTTCACAGGATGACAGCCACTCTGGACCGGGCTGAGGCTCAGACAGCCCACTATGCACTCACACACAAAAATATGTACGTATAAACACACATACACAAGTGCGTTCATATAGCGCTTCCATACCGCCTCCCACCGGCACTCTAATATGTGAGCAAGAAAAGGCTTTTGTTTAAAATGATTGCTTGCCCACTTACTCCAAGTGCAAGGTTGTCTAAAACCACTCAAGAGCCTGTGGACTCGCACCACGCTGCTTTTTAATTTGACAAATAGGCCTAACGCCAGTGTTTCATAGCCCAACGCCTGCCCACACACTGTCAATATCTACACCAAAAAGAAATTAGGCTGTTTTGCTCTCTCTGTTTTTTTCCTCTCCCTCTCTCTCTCTCTCTCTCCCTCTCTGTGATTGGTTATGCCCTCCAGCCTCAAACTTTTAGTCCAATTACTGTATCAATTCTACATTTACTCCACTGGTTCCAATTAGCAGCTCTGGCTCTGGTGTGGATGTGCCAAAATAACTCATTTGTGATGTGGATTTGGAGGAAAGTGTATCCACGTCACCACATTAGCGCCTGTCCACCACACACACACACACACACACACACACACACACACACACACACACACACACACACTAACTGTACTCTAACAATCTGTGAATGACTGTGTGTGTGTGCGTCTGTGTGTTTGTGTGTTGTCCCCCTCCAGCCAGTGACAGCAGGGTGGTGTCCTGTGCGGCAGTATGGCGGATGCCCTCTGATTGGGAGACAGGAAGCCATGAGTCACCTGACGACTCCGCCCACAACCCCCAAACCCTGGAGCTGCTCTGTCACCTAGACGACAGCGCCCACAGCAATGCTGCCTGGTAGGTGTTGCTGGGTAATATCTGTGCTCACAGCACAAGTCATGCAAGTGCAATTATTCTTTTGATCCACAATTGTATTTGTAGGATGGGGTGTAGTTAACATATTTTTGCATTAAAAGTAAAATAAATGTTAAAGTTGAAATAGACAAGTTTTTTGCTTTAACTAATGAAGTAAATGTTGATTGTACAATGTAATGGCTATAGAATAATGACACTATCAGTATTTAGATTGGTTCCCTATAAGCCTCACCTTCATTTTACAGTTTTGTCTGCCACTGGGTATGTTCTCTAACGAAAATGGAGGCTTGATTTACGGCACAAAGAAAGGACACATTTTGTGCAACAAGAAAAGGTTGCACAATGGTTGACACGCAACCCTGGCTACCAAAGAGTATCACTGTAAGTTCTTTGCAGTCTTAGACTATCTCCAGTTGTAGAACTGACGGACGGTGGAACATTGAATGAGTCTGGACTGACACAGATTTTTTTTTTTTTTTTTTTTTTTTTTTTTTTTATAAAACAAAGCTGTTTACTGTCTCGCATACTTTTCTCTGCATTTTCCTGTTTGTCAGACAATGGCCATCATCAAGTCCATTCACCTTAACTACCAGCTATGTTCTGTATTGCACTTCAGTAGAGCAAGGACACAAGTAAATGTTTTTTACACAGTATGCTGGACTAAGAGCCTAAAAACAACTTCACACTCGACACTGTGCTTTTTTTGGCTCCCGAACAATACACCTGCCGTGATGTAATTGTGTCACCTAGCAATGCTAGAATATATGCGTCATTTGGGTGCAAAAGCACACACAAACAGTTGACGGCCTCAGTGAAGTTAAAGCCTTGCTATTAAAGGTAACAAAAGTGTCGTTCCAAAAGTTACATTGCTGATGCATGAAGTATTTGAGTTTACTGTAATGTAACATCTCTGGTCTTTTTCTTCATCTGTTTTCCAATGCACTGTTGCGAGTGATAAAGAGTAGGGATGCAAAATGAAAATTTGTGGCCGAAGCCGAAGCCAAATAATATTAAATGCTTGGCCGAATACCGAATGCCGTTTTTTAGTTTTTCATTAGTTTTTGCAGATGAACCCCCTCCAGATTAGTGTTGTCACGGTACCAAAATTGGGACCCACGGTACAATACCAGTGAAAGTATCACGGTTCTGAGTAGTATCAGGATACCACAGCAAAAATGAGGCAGATGTGCCTTTTGTCATTTATAAAAAGATAAATCACTTTTCTATAATACATTCAAAATCAAAATAAAATAAATAAATAAAATAAAAATCAACCAGTCACCGTCCTCCCCTTCATAAGTAAAGAACAGTCCCTAAAGTGCGGTGAGGTTTGTGGACCGTTACCTGCCACAGAGAGAAATGTGAACGGCTCGTTTCTCCTCTGATACGCCACATACTGTGTGCCGCCATGGCTCGGCTGTTCAGGAAATTTTGGGCAGTCATGACAACAAGTTATTCACCTGGAGCCGGACTTCTTCGTCGCCGGTAAGCCATTATAATGCGCCGCCGTATTTGACAGGAATACGTATTCCTGTCTGTGTCTGTGACCCCCGTTCAACCCACAACCGGTGTGATTCGCCTTTCGTTTCTGCTGCTGGTTGAAATCTGTATTCGCACAGCGTGCTGAATGATTTATTTTGCCCGCACAAAACTATTTTTAGTCGCAAATGCGAGTGCGGTGACGGACGGAGTAAAATATCGCCACACTGCCGACATTTTACTCTGTCCGTCACCGCACGCTGTTTGATTGCGTTATCAAAACACGCCGCTATTAATCGGCCTTGCTTTTCACTTATTCCACCGAATACTGAATGTGTGTTTTTTTTTGCAATATTCGGCCGAATATATTCGTTACCGAATATTCGGTGCATCCCTAATAAAGAGCGAGCTGTACCTTGCATGCTGGTTGGTGGTGTAACAGTTAATAGGCGTCCAACACGCTACACACTGTGTATGTAGCACTCTACTAATAAATATATTCTGTCGAACCCAAGAGTTCACACTCTACACTATACCTCCTTGAGTCCTCAGCAATACACCCGCTATGTGTGGAGTTCATCAGCTGATTAGTTGTCAAAAAGATGGAAGGACAGACAGAGTGAAGCCCTTTTTATACGTAGATCACGCTCTATTGCTGCTTTGAAGTCCCTTCTTTATGCCTCCTTTGCATTTTTACACAGAACCAAATGAGGGTGACATCATTCTACTCCAGTGTGTGATTTTACATAGCATCCCGACATCGTAGAATCAAAAGAGGCGTGACGGACAAGATTTAGCACAATAGTGTTAGCCTATAGTGTGACAGATGACATACATGTCAGCAGTGCTTTCTAAGCAAGAACAATGGCATAACATGGCAGTAACAATCATTTACTGTTCATTATATCGCAGCTAATCTCGTCTTCTGCTCAGAGGGTAAGGAGCTTCCAGACTCATTGTTTTCCCAATTTGTGGACATTTTCGGCCGCCAATCTTCTTCTTTGAGTTAGCCACTAACTGGTATCAGCTGCTTTTTAAATCTACAGTGGGTCAAACACAAAGCATGTTGTCAAAACGTCACACCCATCCTGTCCATGGTCCCGTCCTGCCAACTGTCGTGTTTGTACATACATCATTTGGGCGCTGTTACCTTCCATTGTATATATTGTGTATATTTTGGATTTGCACCTTTTTGTTATCTGAGACTTTAATATTTGCACTCTTTGTATTTGCACTCTTCCCACTTTGTATTACAACTGCTGCACAGTAATTTCCCATGGGATGAATAAAGTTTTATCTTATTTTATCTTGATCAGTAAAGAATCAGCCTGTGACACCAAGAATCAGATTCTTATCAAGAGATTTCCAAAGATTTCCTTCCCTAGTGTCTATCAAAATTCCTTCTTTGTTACATTCCTGGATTGGAGTTGAGTTAGGGGAGGAGTTTCTCAATGGCCAGTATAGAAAGACTGATTACAGGGACCAACAACTGTTTCCATATACAGTGTGGGAAAAATGTGAACCTATCCTTTAAACCCCATAATGCGGTTTTAAGTTTTCTGAGTGTGATACTCAATTTATACATCACACAGATCCAAATGTGGTGTTTAATACAATATGTTATACCACATTTCATTCAGCAGTTTTCTGAAAAGCCTTGCCAGACACTTTGCTGTTTGATTTGCCCACCTCAAACAAAGAAACAAACAACCTACAGGCAGTTTTAGGCAGGATTTTCCTTAAGTCATCAACTACATGCGAGCCATTTAGAAACTACTGTGAGCAGTGGAAACATACTCAGGGACAGATGGACATGTCCTACTGAAACTGAAATAGCCTACACTCTCACCATCAGACTCCTCTCCTCTTTCTCTTATCTCCCTCTCTTTCCCTGTATCTCTCCTCCATATGAGTGTTTTTATTTTTTTGGCTCAGACTATTGACTGGCCCACATCTCACATTGTAGTCTCGGCCCGATCCTTTTGTCTTACAGTCGGAGCTCCTGTGCACAATGCCTCGCCATAACTCACGCCTATGAGAATGAAAATCAATGGTCATTCCCCTTTTTAGTCTGCTGTTCATCGGCTGCCTCATGATTGCTATCATTTTTAGAGGCGCCAATCAGTTAGCGTGATGCATTCTGTAGCAGGTGTCTGCGAGGGAGAGATAAAGATGGAGAGGGAGTGAGGAAGATGGAGAGAGAAAGATGGAGAGAAGCTCACTTGCATTTGTGCAACTTATTGCGTGTTTTGTGTTTGTATATATGAAAAGCGGAGGCTTTTGTATGTGCAGGGTTGCACCCATGTATGTGTATTGTATATATGTGGTGTGTGTGTGTGTGTGTGTGTGTGTGTGTGTGTGTGTGTGTGTGTGTGTGTTTGTGTCAGAGGGCAGGTCAAGCAAGGCTGCTGGGTAAAGATTGATGGCTGTGGGCTCCTCCATCTTAACACCCTGAGAGCTGTAACCCTCACAAGGGCACCACACTGTGTGTGTGTGTGTGTGTGTGTGTGTGTGTGTGTGGTGGGAGTGTGAATTCGGTGCTGTGAAGCCTGTAGCCTATGCTGTTCACTATTGGCTCCCCTAGATGGATGGCTTTGGTCTGCTGCCCACCTCCTCCATCTCTCTATGACACACACACACACACACACACACACACACACACACACACACACACACACAGAGCTACACACACTTATCCCCACTCACTCTGATAATACTGGCAGCTTGCACCAGCCTGTGTATGTGTGCATGTTTGTGTGTGTAAGCAGACAAAGAGTAAAGAGATTGGAGTTCGTACTCTTATGAGGCTTTTGTCTGTTTCATGTGTGTGTTTGTGTGTGTTTGTTCACCTGCCCTGTGTGTGTTTGCGTCCACTGTAGCGTGTCTGCCTGTGTGTAGCTAGCATCCTTCATGTGTGTGTTATCCAGTAGCTGGTGTCCCTCCACTCCCACTAACAATAACACTTTCTCCTTCCTCCAAATCCCCTCATTGTTTGGGTGGGCAAACATTTGAGCCTCTGTCCTGTTGTGAAGCGTGCTCTGAATAGAAATATCGGCAAAATATACCCGAAAAAAACTGGGCTAAACAAAGCTAGGGAAAAATCATGTGTTTTTTTGTTCCTTATGTGTGTACCGTGGCTGTTTTTTTCCTTCTTCTGCTTCTTCTTCTTCTCACACTTGGTTTCGATTGGGTAGAGCAAATCGATTCCCGTGGAGCCATTTGAGCCAATCAGGGCCCTAGGAGGGAATGGTAAAGCTCAAAAGGCAACAATGTTGATTTTCTAAAGTGGGGTTATGACAGGAGGGGGTAGGAGGTGTTTGTGGATTTGATTGTGTGTTTGTGCACACACACATGAATGCAATCATGTGTATTATGGTATGATTATTTTGAGTGAAAGACTCAAAGGCTTTCACTCAGAAGTCTGGCTGTATATGTCGAGTCTCTTTTATCCTGTAGTGCGATAGCATCTCTGCTGTTTGTCTGTGTATGTGGCTAGACATGGA